GGACGGGAGCCCTTCGCAGTTACCGAACGGCCACTGGACAGGCGACGGTGGCAATCGGAACAAGTGACAGGGCAAAGGCTTCAAAAAGGAAAAATGCCCCGAGTGGGGCTGTGCAAAATCTCCAGTTTGAACGTTAGTGCTAAAATCCGTGACAATTCAGATGAGAAAACTCTGGCAGGCACCTCCACACGAGGACGTCTACTTGGTGTAGAGAAAACACTGGATCTAGAACTCCGGGGGGACAGATGCTCTGCAGTGCCCGGGTGCCGGGGGTTCTGACCCGAGGCCAGGACCCAGGGGAGCCAGCCCCGTGTACCCTCCTGTCACTGACCACGGCCCGCCGAGCACAGGCCCAGCACACCCAGACCCAGTAGTTAAGGGTTAAGAGATCCTTCATTTTAGATGGTTTACCTGTTTGGTAAGAGCAGGAACTTCGTGGTCACACTTTGGTCGGGCTGGCTTGAGCACATGTGTATGGTGCATCTGGGGGGCTCAGTCAGTTGAGCAACTGACTTCGGCTCAGGTCATGATCTTGTGGTTCGTGAGCTCGAGCCCCACATCGGGCTCTCTGCTGTCTGTGCGGAGCCTGCTTCAGATCCTCTGTCCCCACCCTCCCCCCACCCCTCCCACACTGGCACACTCTCAAAAATAAGCAAACATTTAAGTGAAAGAGAAAAAGGAAATGTGCATAAACAAAACTGCATTTCTTTTAAGAACAGCCAACAACTTGGACTGTTGTTGCTCTAATTCTAAAAGGAGGGAGCCGAGAACAGAGGAGCATAGTTATTGGATTACTGATAAAGGCGACATCCAAGATGTTTCTAGGCACGAAGGAAAACATCAGAAAGACACAGGTGGCATAAGCCAGGGGTAGACAAGTCTCGGGTAGCTACAAATTACATCGTGGGGGCAGAGCAGTGCTTTCATGATCACAGCACAGAATTCACGAGATAGTTGGTTAAAAGCAGCAGACTCGCTCTCTCGTACTGTCGCAGTAGCACTGACACCGTAACGCATTGTATTCTTGAACCACTCTCCACAGCGTGTAAGGGAGGTGAGGAACTCGCAGCCCCGCACGGCGGGCCTGCTCACTACTCGTGTGTGTCGCCGCCTAGACAGACAGATGCCCTGGCCGACAACACCACTCTGCCCTCCCGAAGCAGACGGTACCGGGTCCCCCCGTCTCCTGGGAAGATGGAAATTTTGGAAGGTATGTTATCTTTGCTTCTCAGGAACCGCGGAGTCTACCGAGCTTCAAAATCAGAACCGCGTTTCACAGAAGGAAAATGCTGTGTTTGTGATGGATGTTGCTAAGGGGCCATTCAATATTTTACCAACAGCACCGACTCCCTGTGTGCACGTCTGTGTCGGTGTTTGGGGTGGGGGGTGGGGGGCTGTCTTGGCAGGTCTGCGTGTCGGTGTCAGAGGAGTTTTGTAACTACGACTGCATCTGTGTGCAGGGGAGAAGCATTTTGTGTTCCCTTTCAAAACTAAGGACTGAAAAGCGGATACAGACCTGGTGATAAAGATCTCGTTTGGGGAATGTTATCCTTTTTTTGTCTCAACAGTGGTCAAGTAAACGAATAAAGGCATACGGATGAGATAAAACTTTCCTTTGTCACTGCGTGGAAACCATCTCCTTCACTAACCTGCCCTTGCTTCATGTTTTAACACCCAGACGGACCCCTTGTTTGGTGCATGACGAGGTGAGACAGGATTCTGCTCACAGTGGCATGGATTTGGTCCACAGGTATCAGAGGTCTGCACACAACGTAGAGCTACTCTAGGCAGTTAACCCCGTGACACAGAATGCAGAATAATTTGGAAAATTCAGGGCTCCAAATTGGTCCACCCCAGGAAAGCAGAAGGAACCACTCCCTTTCTTGACAGATGGATTTCAGAGGAGACGCCTGAGCTCAGAACAATCACTGTGGCCACAGCATAACTCTCTGCACTCTGTGGTGTTTAACGGACTTTTCTTCCCAGTCCTCAAAAAGCAGCAACTGGCATTTGCTTGAGCCCTGACTGAGGTGCGGAAAATCTGTCCCGTCTTCTCTGCCGCTCACCCTGACCACAATTATACGGTCCGTGTGCACATTAGCTGCCAAGTCATTCTTCTTCCAGGAGTGACAAGATTCCCCCCCCCCCGCCAA